ATCAACCCCTTCACAGGTTCTTATGCTACCAAAGAAAACCATACTGTATTCTAGTAAATCTGCTGCTGTCATTCAGTTTATAAGGCAGACTGTTTTGTGAACGAAAATCTCCACCACAAACAAGAAATCTGTGCTTGATTTACATCACAAAAATCCCTTTTCAGCTTCAAAAAGAACTCCACAAAACCAAAGCCAGACTATGCAGTGACCCATCAAGTGAAAGTTACTATACCAAAAGAAACTATAAAGGTTCAAATGGCAGATGTCTGTCAAAGTATTCTCTCAGAATTACACCTAACAGCCTCTTTAGCTGAAGTATTAAAACCCTTCATCAAGTTATTAGACTGAATTAGTCTGTATCTGTAGAACAAGTAAGTCAAACAATGTCTCAACAATCCTTTTCCTTGCTGTCTACCTAGGATTTTTCTCAGACTGTTTTATCCTGTGCAGCTACCCACTGAATTCATACCCCCTCAATCATTTACCTTATCATTAATAGGCATTCCTGACATTACTATATCTGCATCTTACTCAACAGTTACTAACTTTGCAACACCTGCCATAAACTAAATGGAAACTAAACTAAACTTGGGTTTCGCTCTCACCCAGATAAAGCTCAGCTCTATCGGCGCCGTGCACCTGGACTAGTTTCAGGGCGAATTCCATGCACAGGCACACCACGAGCTCTATGTGCCACATCACCCTAGAGAAGGGCTCAATCTGGGGGCGCTGGTTTGCCACCTCAGCGCTACCCCTTAAGATTTACTTTATCCACTCGTACCCACTTCAAGCACCACCATCTCCAGCTCCAGCTCCTCCCTCAGCCCGCAGCGCACAGCTCCGCTAGGAAGCCTCTCACGCCGCAAAGGTAAAGCACGAACTCACAGCTCCCAGGCGCGAACCTGCCCGCGGGCACCCGCAGACCCCGCACCGACACGCTCACACCGGCACCCCGGGGCCCGGCCCGGCCGCCGCCTTGGCACAGGGGCCGGCAGCCTCCGCCGCCCGCCCGCGACTGCCCCGCGGGGCAGCGGAGCCGGCCCTCCCCTCCCGCGGCCTGCGAGCCCCCGCGCTGCACGCAGCGGCCGCCACGTCGCCCGGCCGCGCACGGGGCCAGGCCTGCCACATCCGCCCACCGCCACCGCCGCGGCACAGGATGCTCTCCAGGCCCAGGCTGTCGCCGAGGCCCCCGGCCTGCGGCCCCGCCGGCCTCTCGTTCTCCTTGTTCTCCTTGTTCTCCTCCGCGCCGCCGCCTCGGCCACTCTGCCGCTCCGCCGCCATCTTGTGCCCGGGCCGCCGCCGCCGCCGCGCTGCATCATGGGCCGGGGCAGAAGAGGCGCGCTCCGATGCCATGGGTAGCGCGGCCAGCGCGGGGGCCGATGGGACAGCGGAGGACCGGGGCTGGGGCGGGAATGAGGCGCTGGTACCCACCGGGATGCGCGGGGGAAGGAGGATCCGGACACATCCCCCTGGATCGGGCGCTCCCGGGGCTGACGCCCCTCCCAGCCCCCTCCTCTGGTGGCACCTTCGCTACCCAAAGCATCCCAGGGAAGGGCTGAGGACACGTCCATGGCTGCAGCGTCCCTGCAAACCCCAACGGTGCCTGGAAGGGCTCAGCCCAGGCTGCTGCGGGACAAAGGAGAACAGATCCACGCTGGCTCTGGGACCAGTGCTGTACCTGGACAGCGAAGGGTTCCCAGCTGCTGCAGCAGGCCCTGGGGTCCTTCCTATGACACCTTCAAGCATGCAGGTCCCAGGAGGATGATGCTGGACCCTTTCCAGCAGTGCCCAGTGACAGGACAAGGAGCAATGTCCAGAAACTAAAACTCAACAAGTTTCACCTCAACACAAGCAAGAACTTTCCATGGAGGGTGGCAGAGCCATGGCACAGGCTGCCGGGGGGGTTGTGGGGTCTCCTCTCTGCAGGCATCCCAGACCCTTCTGGATCCGTTCCTGTGTGACCCTGCCTAGGACTGGGTCATCTCCAGAGGTTCCTTCCAGCCCTAACGATGCTGGGATCTGTGTGCAGGGCTGGGCAGCCCTTAGGTGAGTGGTTTAAACTCCCTCAGGCCAAGCACTGGCCACCATCTCCCACCACCAGGCACAGCAGCAGGAGCACCTCAGCCCGCTCTGCGTACCTGGTGGGAGAAGAAACCCTATGCTGTTATTTAAAAGCCCCAGAAGGACCCAAGTCCACCCTGCAGCTGCTTAAATGCTGATAGAAACATTTCAGACCAGGTCCTCTTGCAGAAAGGGTTTAAATATTTGAACCAAGCTTAGATATACCCCTTCAGGGACAGATAGGGAACTGTTTTCTCTATGCCTATTCCAAATCCCTGTACAAACACAGCCATTAGAACACAGCATCAGAAGCTGCTCTGATAGTTCCCACTGAACTCTCCCCCCTAGACCTGTCTGTGCCACTCTGGGGCCAGTGGGACCAGTTTGCAGCCCCATGCTACAGCAAGCAGCAATTCTGGCTCCTCTCCCTTCGGAGGGCTCAGCTACGACCCTTATGTCAGATTTCAAAGCTCTCCTTCCCTCTTGAGGACATAAAAGCTCAAAGGGGAGAAAGAAAACTCAAGCCCTCAAGCTGCAGCCTTCCACTGCAGATCTTAAGTCGCTTCTGGCTGCTCTGGCTTTCCATCATCCCCTATCCAAACCAAAGCGTGTTTCAGGATGGTTCTTGGATCAAGCAGGTGTCAGTCGAAGCCTGTTTTACACACAGCAGCTCCTGTCTCATGGCCACGGTGGTTCAGACATGGATTCCGTGGGCAATGCAGCACCCACGTTCAGATGCCCCAGTGCAAACGCGTGCACGTCGCAGACCAAGGGAGCAGCTCCCATGGCAGAGCATTCATCAAGTTTATCACAGGCATGTTTCTGCCACGCTGCCTTCATCCTGTGCTGGCACGAGGCTCTGCTGCTCCTCTGCAGGCTGTAAGCAGGAGGGTAAGGCACTGGCTCAGTGCATGGGTACCTGCTGCAGAGCTGGCGGAGGAAGAGGAGGGCAACACAAACCCATGGCACCGCATCCAAAGCACCCTGGTTGAGAGCCTTGCAGCAAGGAGGTGGGGCTGAGATACCTTTGGGGTCACAGGGAGGGCTGTGGGGAACAAATGCACTGAGGGTCACCAGCTCCAGAGCTCCCACCATGCACAGGGCACCCTGCACCACCAGCCCCTGCACCCTGCGAGGGCTGGCAGCCTTACAGCGTGCCTTTTGCTTTTGGCCACCCTTGGGAGCACTGTTGGCCCCACTTGGGAAATGCCCAGCCTGCTGCACCCCTGCCCAAATAACCCATCTACATCTTGGGCCAGGATTTTCTCTTGCAGGATTTGTCTTGGGATGAGGGATCCTGCTCCTGGTCTTTGCATACACCACGGGCTGTGAGTTACTGGTGGTTGGGATCAAACTGGGCGTTTTCCCTCATTTTTTAGTACTCTGCAGCGTGAGGGTAGACCTGGCGCCTCTGTGAGCTGACAGCGGCTCCAGGGAGACCAGACACAGCCCAGATGCCAGTGTCTTACTGTGAGTATGGGAGGGGAAAGGGAGTCAGGGTGAAAGCTCCCTGATGCTCGCCTTTCCCCATGAGCTGGCCCTGCAACCACCATGGGCATGGATGGGAATGGGGCACAGCCCTTAGGAGTGACTCTTCATGGGCATTTGGCCAGTCTGGGATGAGAAGAGGAAGGCAGAGCTGCACTGCTGTGTCTCAGCACCTCCTTATGCTCTACAGGATGGAGCTTTCCTCTGTTCCTGATTCCCTGTGAGATAACATCAGGAGCAGAGCATCCTCACACCAAAGTGGTGTTGGCTTCCCCACATACCTTACCTGCGCAGCTAAACGGGAACAGCTTCTGTGGGGCTTCCTGTGGGCTGCTGGGGGTGAAAGGGCTCCACATCATGTCCTGTGGCAAGACTGTCACAGGGCTGTGGCTGTCCCCATTGCTCCCAGAGCTGCCGCAGGCTGCAATCCAGACGTTCATTAGGACAGCTGAGGAGCGGGTTGGTCAGAGGAGGGATTGAGATATTAAATACTTCTCTGTCCACAGGAGCAAAGTGACTCAGTCTGGGGTCACATGAAGTGTCCTTAGGGAGCTCATTGCACCGGCCAGTCCCAAGACTTCCATCCGTGGAAGCTCCGGAGGCACAAACCAGGCGGGTTTACAGGCAGGAGAAGACGCGTGTTAAAGATCTGTCCTCACTGCAGTGAGTTACCTGATCCCACCCCACAAACCTGAGCTCACCTCGGGGGTGTTTGGGGCAGGGATTAAGCTGCGTGTGGGATGATTTGGACCCGCTTGCAGTCTCGGAGGACCCCTGTTCCTGAGCACCAACCCTGCAGCCCCCGGGTGGGACGGGCCCTCTCCCAGTGCCTGCTGCGGGGGAATGGACAAGGGAAAGCACCCGACTCCCCGCCTTGGGTGCCCGGGTCCCTTCGGGCTGCCCAGCCCGGCTGCCGCAGCCCCTTCCCGGGGGTCGCGGTACCGGAAGACATTTAACACACACACCCCCCCCGGAACAAACCGGCCCCGGGCCGAGCCCCCCCTGCCCGCTCTGCGGGGTGGCTCCTGCAGCCGTCACTCGGGACCGGGGCTTATCCCGGCGGGAAGCGGAGCCGGGCGGGAGCGGCAGTCCCGGAGCCGCCCCCCGCAGAGGGAGGGAGGGACAGAGCCGAGCCTCGCCGAGCGGCCACGGGGAGGAAGGGAAGGGCACCGGGTCCCCCTGCACCCGCTTTCCGTGTATCCCGGTGCGCTGCACCCCCCTCTGCACCCCCTTTACCTCTGCATCCCCGCTGCACTCTCTGCCCCTGCACCCCGTTTCCCGTGCATCCCTGGTGCGCTCCCCACTGACCGCTCCGTGCACCCCTTCTCCCATCCATCCCTGCTCTCTCCCCGCGCACACCCCTCCTTCTATGCATCCCTGCTGACCTCTCCGTGCACCCCTTTTCCTCTGCATCCCTGCTCTCTCCCCGTGCACCTCCTCCTGTCCCTCCCGGTGCAGTCCCCACTCTCCCGTGCTCTCCGGCCATGAACAGCTCGGCCGGGGGCTGGCAGCCCGAGGCAGTGCTCATCCCGCTCGCCTACCTCCTCATCTTCCTCATCGGCACCGTGGACAACTGCCTGGTCCTGGCCGTGCTGCTGTGCAGCGGGCAGGTGAAGAACACCACCAACATCTTCATCCTCAACCTGGGGGTGGCCGACCTCTGCTTCATCCTCTTCTGCATCCCCTTCCAAGCCACCATCTACACCCTGGAAGGGTGGGTATTTGGGCCCTTCATGTGCAAGGCCGTCCACTTCTTCATCTTCCTCACCATGTACGCCAGCAGCTTCACCCTGGCCACCGTCTCCCTTGACAGGTAGGAAAGGGGCTGGGGGGGTTCTCCCTGTAGCCTAAGGCTCCCCCTTCTCTGGATCCCCCTGGGCAGAAGAGAGGAGAGAATTCCCTGGAGCCAAGCTGTGACCTCCCAGGGGAATCCCACAGCATTCCCCAGTTCATGAGGGCAAGGAAATGCAAGCACTGAGGATAGGGTCCAGCAGAGGTTGCCCTGGGAGCCCTTGTCCGCAGCTGGAGGAAGCTTTCAGACCCTGAAGCTGTAGGACTGGGGTTTATCCAGAGGCTCTGGCAGCTGAAGGGCAGATGGAAAACCAGAGAGAAACAAAGCTGAGCCCTGCACAGCCCCGGGATGCATGGAGAGATCCTCAACTTTCCCCATGGGAAAGCAGGCAAACCTCAAGCAGACATTGGGATGTTGGAGGTGGGACACTGCTTTTGCTAGTAAAAGGGGAGGGTGGGGAAAAGCCCCTTTCTGTCCTGGTGCTGTCCCTTGTCCCAGGGACTGTCCCAGCCTGGCTCAGGGTGGGTTTTAGCCAGGAAGGTCTGCACAGGGCAGCCTGGGGCTCCTGCCTGTGCCTCTCCTCACCCCAGCTCTCCTCTGTAAGAGCTGGTGAGTTACTAAAAATCCCCAGCAAGCGAGAGGCAGGGAGCTCCTGGTGCAGCTCCATCAGTGCCCAAAACCCGTGCGAGGGCACTTGGAAGGTCCCCCTGAAAATCCCCTGGGAAGGGCCATGGCAGCCCCAGAGCAGAGCTGGATGTGTCCACGGCACAATGCTGCCTCCCAGGACAGCACCCCAAAAACACAGCCAGGGGCTCATCTCCTACAGCCCACAGAGGGGAACAGAGGTGTCAAGCAATGGGGGCCTGAACAAACCCCCTGACGTGGGTGTAAGGAAACAGCTAATTGCAGGACTGAAGATGGGCGATGGGCTTCAGCATCTGTCAGCATGAGGAACACCGTGCTTGGGGCTCATGGGGGCTTGCTCCTGCCTTCATATCCTCACTGCTGCTATCGCTTGTGCCAGGCAGGCTGATGATGGAGTGAGGATCTGCTGGAGTAGGGAGAGGGACGGAAAGGGACCATCCCCATCCTCTCCACAAGGGAGCAGAGAGGGTGACAGAACAGGGCTGGGGGAGAGGTTCTTCCTCAGCCCACTGCGCTGCACAGGGACCCTGAGGAGCCCCAGGGATGAGCTGTGTGACTGATGGCCCTGGAAAGCTCAACTCCATCACATATGTCCTTTGTCCAACCTGCTCCTGGAGCAGCTCCCCGTGCCCTGCCCAGGACTGCAGTCATGTCCTTTTCCTCCTGCAGGTACCTGGCCATCTGCTACCCCCTGCACTCGCGGGGGCTGAGGACACCCCGGAATGCCCTCACTGCCATCTGCTTCATCTGGGGGCTTTCCTTCATCTTCTCGGGCCCTTACCTCAGCTACTATGAGGAGTTCCAGCTGGCCAACCTGACCGTCTGCCACCCCATCTGGGAGAGCTCCCAGCGCAAGGTCATGGACATCTGCACCTTCATCTTCAGCTACATCATCCCGGTGCTGATCCTGAGCCTCACCTACGTGCGGACTATTCACTACCTGTGGAAGTCCGTGGACCCTCTCCAAGACATGTCAGAGGCCAAGAAGGCCAAGCGGAAGGTCACCAGGATGATCATCATTGTGGCCATCCTGTTCTGCCTCTGCTGGCTGCCCCATCACCTGCTCATCCTCTGTGTCTGGTTCGGGTACTTCCCCCTCAATCACACCACGTACGTGCTCCGCATCCTCTCGCATCTCATCTCTTATGCCAACTCCTGCGTGAACCCCATCGTCTATGCCCTGGTCTCCAAGCGCTTCCGCAAGGGCTTCAAGAAGATCCTCATCTGCCTCCTGCACCAGGAGCCAGCCCACAAGGGGCACGTGGCCCAGGTGATGAACACGGCCAGCACGCTGGAGGCAGAGCTCAGCGAGGTGACCCATGGTGGCCGCTCCTCCCTGCGCTGCACGGGCCCAGCCCAGCCTTGGGGGAAAGCGGAGCTGGGGAGAGAGCAGCAGGAAGCTGATGGCTCCTGCATCACCTTCAGCATCACCTAGCAGAGCTCCTTCCCACACCATGGCTTTGCAGCGTCCTGCAGCATCGCAGGCCTGGGGATGGGCTATGGTTTGGGTTGAAATGCATCAAAACATACCCTTTTTCATTCAAATGCACCCAGGTACCGTACCTGTTGAAGTGATGGTGCTGACTGCAGACTCAGCCAAGCAATCAAGCAGGGAGCCAAGGGCAGGATTTGCTTCCACCATGCACTTGCTGAGGGCAGAGATCAAACTCTCATGTCTCATATGTTCCTCTGCCATAGCTGAACTTACATCCAGTTGCATCTACACCTGGAGCCTACTGAAAGCTCTGCTCCCTCCAACCAACACAACTTCCAGCTGGGTGCACTTTTAGGTACATTTGGGAAGTCTTGGTTCATTGGTATCCCGGTTCAGCAGCTGAGTCCCAGGGAACCATTGGCCACAGCCCCATGGGCAAAAACCTGGCTCAGGTAGGAAATCCAGGAGAGAAGCATAGAAATCAGGACAGAAACCTTCCAGTGCTGGCTGAGCTGCCACAGCTCCCTGGGGCTTGTGGCTCCGAGAGGTTTCCCCATGGCTGGAAGCTGGAACACATATCCATAGCCCAAGTATGGAGTGCTGAGAGCACAGAGCACCACCACCCTGTGCTGCTGCTGTCCATGGCTCTCCCTGGCCATTTGGGTGCATGCGAGGCTCTGGCTCTGCAGCCCAGGCAGAGGTCACCAAGGACCGGTGGGGTTGGAGGAACACAGCCATGGCCCCACGGGAGAGGTTGTGCTGCCAGGGGAAGGGGAGCAGGGCATCAATGGCTCAGTGCCGCCCGCAGCCAGCTTGGCCATGGCTCAGCACTGCAGACCCAGCAAGGTGCTTGTGGAAGAGAGAAAAGCTTTCCTGTGGCCATGGCGTAGGGCTGGACAACCAGGGCTGGGGGGGGGGACGGACCCCAGGCAGCTGGGGAAGCCTCAATAAAGCCCTTTATCCTATGTGCTGTGTCCAGCTCCATTGAGACACCCCAGAGGCTGCAGCGGAGGAGAGGCAGGTGCTGGAGGGGTGCTGGGGGGGGGGGGGTGGAGGATGGGGGTTACCTCCAAGGATACAAATGGGGGAGGTTCAGGTTAGACATAAGACAGGAGCTCTTCCCTGTGAGCGACACCTTCCCCTAGAGCAGATTCTGTGATTCTGTGCCCTGCAGCATCTCAGGTTGAGATCTGTGCGTGCAGCCACGTGTGATAGGAAAACAGGTCCAGGGAGGGCAAGGAGGGGAGCAGGGTCAGTGTCTCCTCTGTGGTGGCATTGAGCAGATCCGGGATGTTGCACCCCCAAACATGCCAGCACAGGGACCCCTGTCCTTGGGCAGTGCAGGGGTGGTGTGGGACAATGTCTCCATCCTCAGGGCGAGGTGAGAACTGTGTCCAGGAGAGGGCTGGGGAGGGATACAACAGCTTGCCAAGCAGAGGGGGGTGAGGGCAGGAAGATGAGCTGTTGGCTGTGTTCGAGTGCCTGATTCAGTGTCTGCCCTGTCTGGGAAGGGTTGAGCAGAGGAGATAAACGCAGATCTAAGTAATGAAGCTGTTTATACGCTTGCTCCCGGTGACTTATGCTGGGAGCAGGCCTAGACTAAATATCGTGGTTATTGATATGAGGCAGTGGCTGATTTATGGCCCTTTGCATGGGGACAGGAAGATCTGGTTATAACAACACTCAGAAGGGGAAAACAAATGTTTGAAAGGCAAAAGCCTCCTGCGGAGAAAGGCCAAGTGCTGGGGATGGGTGTGGAGGGGGTTGTGTCTGTGTTGCTGGGCTGCACCCCCAGACCAAGAGCAGCAGGGTCATGGAGGGGACCCTGCTCCTCTGCTGTGCTCTGGGGAGCCCCCCCCCCTGCAGCCCTGATCCAGCAGCACAAGGGGGACCTGGAGCTGTTGGAGCAAGGCCAGAGGAGGCCACGGAGCTGCTGCGAGGGCTGGAGCAGCTCTGCTCTGGAGCCAGGCTGAGAGAGCTGGGCTGGGGCAGCCTGGAGAAGAGAAGGCTCCTGAAGGGGAGACCTTAGAGCAGCTCCAGTGCCTAAAGGGGCTGCAGGAAACCTGGAGAGGGGCTTGGGACAAGGGATGTAGGGACAGGCCAAGGGGAATGGCTTGAACCTGCCAGAGGGGAGACTGAGCTGAGCTCTTAGGCAGAAGCTCTTCCCTGTGAGGGTGCTGAGGCGCTGGCACAGGGTGCCCAGAGAAGCTGTGGCTGCCCCATCCCTGGCAGTGCTCAAGGGCAGGCTGGACACAGGGGCTTGGAGCAAGCTGCTCCAGTGGAAGGGGTCCCTGCCCGTGGCAGGGGTTGGAGCTGGAGGAGCTTTAAGCTCCCTGCAAACCCAAACCAGTCTGGGATTCTGTAAGAACAGTAGAGAACGAACACGCAAAGGAAGGAGAGGGAGCCCTGCCCTCCCCTGTTAACAACTCTAGAGCTGCCTGGCCATCCCTGTGACTGTTTTGAGGACACATTCCACAACACCCCAATCCCAGCTCAAAGCATCACTGCATCCCCTATACCTGGGCACCGGGTCGTTTCTGGTCACTGCTCAGCAGCACCAGTGGGACATGGGGCTGGGGCAGGCTCTGCCTGGGGGTGCACCTCACTCCTGCATCCCAAATCCCCCCAATACACCCCGTGCTGCTCTCATCCTCAGACAGGAGCAGGAAGGGGCTCTGTGATGGTTGTTCAGCAAGGGCTGGGCCTTCAGAGGTCTCTGCAGTGTGGCACACACAACTGCTCTCCTTGTTTTATGGATCCCCCCCCATCCACTGGTGCTTACTCATGTGTAGGCAGAGAAGCCTGGATCAGCTGCTGGATCATTACAGGATACTACAGTTATAGAGGGAAAACCCACCCTCCAGCTTACCTGCTGTTGCCTCTGTTCACCTGAGGAGGAAGCCACCACCCTGCTCCACCCAGCCCATGCCTTGAGAAGCCCTGCAAGGGCAAGCACAAGATACTGCTGCCAACATAAAACCACCATGGTAAGCAACTGCGCCCTGAATAACAACATACCAGATGGACAAGACAAGAGCACTATGATCTGCCACCTCCCAGCTGAGCGGGGACAGGCTCCTGGTCCATTCCCTTGGGAGGTTTTATCTTAAATGAACACTAGAAGTCCCCTTGTTCCAGTAAAAGCTTAATAAATTGGATGCCAGTGGAAGTGGAACATAAATAGGCTGCACTCAGCTCCTATCACATCCAGCCCTGGGCGGGGAGCTGAGGAGCAGGGGTTGATGTGAGCTGTCCAGCACATGGATTTAGTGCTGGGTTGAAGAAGCTGGTTTTGTCTGGGGTTTTGTTCTGTTTTCAAACACTTCCTCTGCCAAATTTGCTCCCTGGTCTCATAAGCAGCCAAAGGGGGGTTGGGGCCAAGGCTCTTGAGCCTCTCACCTTCATCTGCTATACCAGGCTGCAAACTGCACCCACAGCAGCCCTGGTCACTGTCACTGCAGGGTTTGACAAACCCCTTTCGCTACCCCAGAGAAGTGGGTGGAAGCCACAGGAGCAGGTAACACACCAGACCCTGCACATCCCCCCAGCATGGCCCGCTGCAGGAGAGACCAACACAGAACAGAACTGGGGCTCCAGCCCCAGAACCATCAGCCGAGAGAAACCATCAGAGATCAACCCCAAAGCCCTGGAATCAGACACGTCCCCAGCCTGGTCCAGTCTGTCAGGGATTCACCAGCAGCCAGAGCAGGGCAGGAAGTGAGGAGGGGGCTTGGAGCCCTGGAGGAAGCCACGCGGGAGGCAAAGGGGGCTCAGCTCCCGCAGGGGTGTGAGGAGCTCAGCCGGGCCGGGTGGTGCCGGCTGCCAGGGCGGCTCTGATGAGGATGCTCTGACATTCCTTACCATAAAAAGCCACGGAGCACAGGGAGCCGCTCCCCAGCGCTGCGCAGCATCGGGTGCCACTCAGACACATGAGGTCAGCCCGGGAATGGGGGGGACACACGAGGGGCTCCCCTGCTCCCACCCCATGGAAGGCCAGCAGCTGCTGCTGCTCCCTCAGCAGCTCTGGGCACTGCAGCGGGCATCGGACAAGGCTGAGATCCCATCCACCTCCACATGGCCATTCCCTGTGCAGGGGAGAGGCAGGCGGTATGGGAAAAGCAACTGGAAGGCTGGATTTAGGAAACAGGGACTGGGAGTTTCTGCTTTCCCTGGAGCTCAGGGAAAACAAGGGTCTTGGGCTCCCGAGAGCCATACACCAGGGAGCAGCAGAAGCTGCCTCTTCCCCTGGGTACTCACCACCTCCAGCTCCTCCTCACTGCACAGCTACCACCAAGCTAGGACTCAGTAGCCTCTTTACCCCCTTTCCTCGCTAGAGATGTGGACAAGGAACCCTTGGGGTAGGAAACAACCCAGCCAACTTCTGGTGCTGTTAACAGAGAGACCAGAGCAGGGGAGTGGGTCGTTGTGCACCCATCTCTGACTGCATCTCCCCACCTCTGAGCTGAGCTGGTCCAGCTCCTCATGGCTCCAGACTAGTCCAGCTTTCCCATGGGGAAAGGCTGACAGTGGAGCCCAGAAACGCCTTTTTCAGTACTGGCCATGCAGAGAAGTTCCCAGAGCCTCTGGAGAATGAGTTGTGGCCCCATAGCAGTCCACCCATCTTCTCTGGGGCCTAGTGAGCACAAGAACATCAGTACAGGGAGATACTAGCTCCTGTACACTAAGGCTCAGATGCTTCAGAAATCACAGAATCCCAGACTGGTTTGCGTTGGAAGGGACCTTCAAGCTCCCCCAGTTCCAACCCCTGCCACAGGCAGGGACCCCTTCCACTGGAGCAGCTTGCTCCAAGCCCCTGTGTCCAACCTGGCCTTGAACACTGCCAGGGATGGGGCAGCCACAGCTTCTCTGGGCACCCTGTGCCAGCGCCTCAGCACCCTCACAGGGAAGAGCTTCTGCCTAAGAGCTCAGCTCAGTCTCCCCTCTGGCAGCTCACAGCCTTAAAAGCTGGAGGCAAAGCTCCCCCTTCCCTCCCCTGGCTTTGCCTCCAACCCTTCCAGGTGAATCACCTCAACCCGGGGTGGGCTGCAATAAAACATGCTTTACAGACTCAACCCTGAGCACATCAACCAATTCCACCCGCTCTCCTGGAGACAGAAATTCAGGTCAGACCACTGTGGTGGCAGAAACAGATCCAGAAAGATGGAAACCAGCTCCTTCTGGTGTCAACATGTGGGTCCAGCAGGCTTGACACTGCACATCATGCAAGCCAGCAGCACTTTGCTTATGCTTAAAACCACTGTCTACTGCCTGCCAACCTGCAAAGGCTCTTGGAGCTGGCAGAGGGATCAGCTAGCACTGAAGCCTCAGCGTTCCTCAAGCAGTTGAGCTCTGAAAGCAGGAGGGAAGGTCCCTGCAGGGAGCTGTGAGCCTGCGCAGCCAGACCCATGAAAAACAGCCAAGCAGGGACTGTCAGGATTCGAACCATGCAGTGGTCCAGCTGCAGCTGGATAATCCAGGG